GGGGTGCATCATCCATGAATTAATGTAGTGTAGACTGGAGTCCAACTCTAGGGTTTATCAAAAAGGAAAGTCTTGAATGGTTAAAACTCACGGCAGGTTTGTTTCCTAACGTTTTGTCTTTTGTAGAACACAGCTGAAGCTATCAGAACTTGTGTGGTGTGCGTTGGGATGTGTGTGTTTTCTAACACGGTGTTTGTTGTGTGTGAAGGAGTCCCAGCCTCGGTCCGGTCTGCTGCAGTCTTCCCTCGTCACCCTGTACACCATGTACCTGACCTGGTCTGCCATGACCAATGAGCCCGGTAAGAAGACCTGGTTCCTCCAACACTGCAGCTTTTCTTTGGCCCTTTTAAAAACCTGCTTTGTTTAAAGTCTTAAAACACAGTGTAACACTAAATGTCTTCATCAGTCTAAGAACCAAGTCCTGACCCGGGTTAAGTCAGACAGAACCACCTGATATATGATAAATAAAACCAGTTCTCCTCACACTGACAGACTTTTAACACAAACTTTATCAAATAATTTAAATATACCACATTTATAAGGTTTAGAAAAGGATGTCTTACAATCTTCATATCCATGTGTTACTGGACCTGTTGGTCTGATGGGGGTCTGGACTCAGTCCTGGACCTGTTGGTCTGATGGGGTTTGGACTCAGTCCTAGATCTGTTGGTCTGAAGGAGTTTGGACTCAGTCCTGGAACTGTTGGTCTGAAGGAGTTTGGACTCAGTCCTGGAACTGTTGGTCTGATGGGGGTTTGGACTCAGTACTGGATCTGTTGGTCTGATGGAGTTTGGACTCAGTACTGGATCTGTTGGTCTGATGGAGTTTGGAATCAATCCTAAACCTGTTGGTCTGATGGGGGTTTGGACTCAGTCCTGGATCTGTTGGTCTGATTGGGGTTTGGACTCAGTCCTGGACCTGTTGGTCTGATTGGGGTTTGGACTCAGTCCTGGACCTGTTGGTCTGATGGGGTTTGGACTCAGTACTGGATCTGTTGGTCTGATGGAGTTTGGACTCAGTACTGGATCTGTTGGTCTGATGGAGTTTGGACTCAGTACTGGATCTGTTGGTCTGATGGAGTTTGGACTCAATCCTAAACCTGTTGGTCTGATGGGGGTTTGGACTCAGTCCTGGATCTGTTGGTCTGATGGGGATTTGGACTCAGTCCTGGACCTGTTGGTCTGATTCGGGTTTGGACTCAGTACTGGACCTGTTGGTCTGATGGGGGTTTGGACTCAGTACTGGACCTGTTGTTCTGATGGAGTTTGGACTCAGTACTGGATCTGTTGGTCTGATGGAGTTTGGACTCAATCCTAAACCTGTTGGTCTGATAGGGTTTGGACTCAGTCCTGGATCTGTTGTCTGATGGGGTTTGGACTCAGTCCTGGATCTGTTGTCTGATGGGGTTTGGACTCAGTCCTGGATCTGTTGGTCTGATTGGGGTTTGGACTCAGTCTTGGACCTGTTGGTCTGATGTGGGTTTGGACTCAATCCTGGACCTGTTGGTCTGATGGGGGTTTGGACTCAGTCCTGGACCTGTTGGTCTGATGGGGTTTGGACTAAGTACTGGACCTGTTGGTCTGATGTGGGTTTAGACTCAGTCCTGGAACTGTTGGTCTGATGGGGGTCTGGACTCAAAGTCCTGGACCTGTTGGTCTGATGGGGGTTTGGACTCAGTCCTGGACCTGTTGGTCTGATGGGGTTTGGACTAAGTACTGGACCTGTTGGTCTGATGGGGATTTGGACTCAGTCCTGTTCCTGTTGTTCTGATGGGGGTTTGGACTCAGTACCGGACCTGTTGGTCTGATGGGGGTTTGGACTCAGTCCTGGACCTGTTGGTCTGATGGGGGTTTGGACTCAGTCCTGGACCTGTTGGTCTGATGGGGGTTTGGACTCAGTCCTGGAC